GCCGTCGGAAAAGCGACAACCGGATGGTGCACAGAAACTTCTGTGACAACGGCAAGAAGCCCAAGCCGATCCGGCGGCGCTGCAACCTCCAGGAGTGCTCCCAGCCCACGTAAGTCCTCCCCGCCTGGCCCGAGGTGCTCCGTGGGAGTGGTCCCGGTACAAATCCCGGCTCTGACGCCTCCTCCGTGTCCGTCTTCCCTTCCTGGCAGCTGGGTGGCCGAGGAGTGGGGCGCCTGCAGCCGCTCCTGCGGGAAGCTGGGGGTGCAGGCGCGGGCGGTGCAGTGTGTGCAGCGCCTGCAGGACGGCACCAACCGCACCCTGCACACCAAGTACTGCCCCGGGCAGCGCCCCGAGACCCGCCGGCCCTGCGCCCGCCTGCCCTGCCCCGCACAGTGGAGGACGGGAGCCTGGTCCGAGGTGAGCCGGGGTGGGGCTCTGGAGGGGGATGGAGGTGGTGGGAAGCGCCCAGGAGAAGGGGGTATGGGAGCTGAATGTGAAGTACCCCCAACTGGGGTCATGGAGCAGAATCCTAGAATGGTTTGGGTTGAAAAGGGGCTTTAAAGGTTGTTTAGTCCAACCCTCCTGCCGTGGGCAGGGACACCTTGCTTTAGAACAGGTTGGTCCAAGCCCTGTCCAACCTGGCCTTGGACGCTGCCAGAGATGGAGATGAGGGCACAAGAGCCAGCGATGTTTTCAGTGGTTCACTCCTAAAATTAGAGAGGGGAGAACATCCCTGTGCAACGCCGTGGAAAGTGTGGGGGTTTGCTGGAGGCAGGGAGGGAGACCCCTTATTAGAAAGCAATATCCACCCGAGCAGCTGTTATCTGCAGATAGTTCAGATGCCCCCTAGGGCGCTGCCGGGGTGTGGGGCCTCCCCCCACCCCATCGCTGACCGCGTGTCCGTCTGTCTGTCTGGGCGCAGTGCTCGGCCACCTGCGGGGAGGGTGTCCAGCAGCGGCAGGTGGTGTGCAAGGGCGGCGAGAGCGGCGGGCGCTGCGAGGGGGACAAGCCAGAGGCCATCCAGGGCTGCCACCTGGCCCTCTGCCCAGGTGAGAGGAAAGGAGAGGGGGGAGGCAGCTGGAGGTGGCGCTTGGGATGGGGCACGCGCTGGTGGGGGTCAACCTTTGTGCGCGTCTCCAGCCCGCTGTGGCTTCAGGAGGTGCCGGCAGGGGAGGTCAGGTTGAGCATCTGCTGATGTTCAGAGAAGGGGTTAAACACCAGCCAAAATAATT